GTGTTAGTGATAATTATTTTCTGTTAATAATCAAGTTATTGAGTTGCATGAACATCTTCTTAATTGCTTGAATCATATGGTTTTTGTGAAAACAATTGTATGCCTAGTATTAGTGAATATGAACCTAGGATAAACAAGAAAATAAGTAAGTTAATGTGTAAGCATGTGTGATGAACAAACCATACATGAGTTGATTGAATTGATAAATTTAGTTAACTAATATTACAAGTCTTACTTGATCCGAACTGAACACTAGGAAACTTGTTAGTTTAATCAGTTGATCACTGTTTTAATTAACTTGTTTGCTAAGGATTAGTAATAGTGAACATGAACCTAAGCACATTAGAAATCGGTAGCCAATGACATATTAATCCATTGCACTTGCTACGAAATCAACCATAGGAATAAGTGAATCGAATCTAAACGGAAGTCTCTTTAAATTGATTGAATCTAGTTGTCTTTTGTTTTTTCCTTAGTTGTTAATTGTCATTTGTTTAAGTGTTTAAGTAGTTGCTTAAGTTTCTAGGCTTGTAAAACTAGAGAAAAACCTTTCTTTTTACTTGTTTGATTTAGATAATATTAGTAATAATCTTAATTGTTTACTGTTCCCTGTGTTCGATACCATACTTACCTGAACTAAGTTGCTAATCGATAGGTACACTGCCTTTCGTGTGTTTGTTTCTGTGTCTAAGTTAGTAGGATTAAAACTAGTGTATTCCACACACACCAGGTCGACTCGGCTGGTTTGTTGAGTTTGACCAATTTTAACCAAATGATATTTTGGGTAAGTAATATTAATTTGAAGTTGGGCAAAATTTTGAATAATAGGTGTCGGGTAGAGCTAGTTTTCGGAGCATAAATTTATTCAGCTTTTATTCAGACCGAGAGGTGTGTTCTTCTCACTGTATTCGTGGGTCGAAGGCACCAATGTCGGCCCAATAGATTATGTATCCTAGTTTTAGGATAGAGATATGTTGTTATATGACTGATTAGTAGATCTGTATGATTATATGTATTTGCTGGTTTTGTGTTTATGTTTTTCTGTTACATATGTCGACGTATTGTGGTTGGGTTGAGGCGGTCATGCTTGAGCTGAAGGCCAAGATACCCGGGGCGGTGTGGATAGACTGTAGGCCCCGCGAGGCAGTCTAGTCATGACGAAGGCCCGAAGAGCGGTCCGGATAGGCTGTAGGCCCTACGAGGTGGTCCAGTCATGCCGAAGGCTCGTAGAGTGGTCCAGATAGGTTGTAGGCCATACGAGACGGTCCAGTCAGGCTGAAGGCTCGTATTTGCATGCTTTGTTTTTTATGTTGTGTGTTGGTACTTTGGGGGAATTCACTTAGCTTTGGCTTATAGATTTAGTTTATTGTTTCATTGTTTCAGGTACTTCAGAGGGACATGGGAAAGCGAAGGCCTGACCGTGCACATCCTCATATTTTTCATGATATTGGCTTTTGGGACACTCTGACATGATTTTGCTTTAGAAACAATGGTCTTTTTGTAAACAATGATGCTTAATGGTTGTTTTTGAACAGTTTTAAATTTTTATGATTTCTGGGATGTTACATGGATTTGTATGGTGGCGATTTGGGGATTTGTCTCCTCCTCAGGCATTTCTACCTCCAAAATTTTCCTTTACGCTCTTCTAATTTCCATCTTCTTGTTGAATACTAAATGACCCGTACAAAAAGAAATCCATGGGAGGAAAGGATCCAAGGAAGAGGTTGGCCACTAAAGTAGTAATGTCGTATGAGAAGAGCACTAAGTTGTTGATCATGAAACTCCTATTTTCGTGGCTTGTGAGGGAAATCAATTAGGATTTCAAGACATATCTTTGATTTTAGAGCTCTGTTGTTGACGCACTCCAAGAGGTGGCTAAAGCATACCTAGTTGGATTGTTTGAGGACACTAACTTATGCACGATTCTTGATAAAAGAGTCTATTATGCCTAAGGATATGCATCTCCCTCGTAGAATCCATGGTGAATGAGCTTAGAGTTTTCGATTAGATTTCGCTCATTGAAGGTATTGTTTAGGTGTTCTCTCATTCATTGCTTTTGTTACAAGATGATTGTTAGGTTATCTACTTTGTATCTTTCTTTTTTGTAAATTGATGTATGTTGATGGATTTTGATATGTTATTCTAACGGAGTATCGATTTTTCATTGTTATTGGACTATCACCCTCATCATCAATTTGATTGCTTGAACAAGTGATCTCGTAATCAAGGGTGTTGTACAACTCATCAATATTTATCCAACATGGCACGAAACCCGCTAATACAATGCGAAAGGATTTTTTTTAGCATGTCATAATGGAGTTAGTTCCCCTAAAGTACAAAAAAAAAGTCAAATGAATTTTCAAAACAAATATAAAAAATTTGTAGGGTTAAAATGACATCTTTCCTTATTATTTCAAGTTAGATAACAAATATTATTTCGTAAAATTAAATATCATATTTATTGGTAGCCCTTTATTTTGTTTCAAAATAATATAATTTTTTAAACCATTAGAATCCAAATTTAATAATGTAGTCACCTAATTTTTAAACAACATATTA